TCACCCTATTCATCCTAAGGGACATGCGAAGCATTCGTTTTTATACCTGTTATAAACCATTGCCTCATTGCCCCGCCGAACGAACTCGACACATCGCTACCGCCGTAACTCTTAGTAGAGCGTTATATTCAAGTTCTTCGGCGACCGCAGTACGCACCTCACATATTCTGCTACCTTCGTGCGAAGCTCGCTGGCAGTACAGTATACATATATTTGCGTGCGGCCTTTGCAACTATTCCTATGACGGAATTAGTCATCCTAACTGCGGGAATTGGGTCCTCCAAGTGCACCAATGTCGAACAGAGTGCTTGAGCATTCTGAAAAAGTACCCTAATCTTTCCTTCGTTTAGTACCCTCCAGATAGTCTCCGAGTATCCTGGTTTATAGGGAATCGCTACGGTCCCAATTCGTTCCGTAGTACACCGTAGATGTGGATCTTAAAACATCGGCAACTGGCGTTTCACTAACCGCCTCGGGTATCCATAATCAAACAATTGGTTCATTGATTTTTCCGAGCGGCCTATCTATCTTCTTCTGTGCAAAGGGTCTGGACTCTGTGTAACAGAGACGAGGCGATTTTAGCATACATATGCTTTGGGTGACCTGAACTATAGTGGAGTACCCCAAATGCGTCCTTCGGTTAAGGAAAAATGGTTATTTTTGACTACCCCTATTAATGTGCATTAAGCAATCAGGGGATGACAATGTACGGTTGCAAGATTCCAATTCCATAGCAAAGTTAGCAGTCTCAACAAGAATGTTCAATTAGTTTTATGAGCAGATATGTGTCCTCCAAATAACGCCACCAAATTTTCAGTAAGCTAGTCAGGCAGTGCCCACCTATCAAATGTTCCATGTACGAATAATGCAATAGGGAGGATACTGACGATCCCATGGCAAGACCCAATTCCTGAGTTAATAATCTCCATTGGAACGTAAAATAAGATGTCATTCCGCTCAATTATTTGATATACCGTAAGCTTTATCCTCCCGCCCAAGTGAACCTCTTGGGACCGTTCCATCTTCAATGCGCCACTTGAAGCAATACTTGGATCTGTAGTGCGATCACCCTTCTACCCACAACCCATTCGCTACGATTATCTTCCCAGTTTTCTACAAGTAGGTTGTGGTCTAACTGCTAGAGGAGCTCAACCCTGTCACCACGGAAGACCATAACAAGGGAGTTCTATTCGTAAATCAGCCTAACACAGGCAGTGTATTTATCGATGAACACTCAAATCCTGTGTATACACCAATGCCCACGCTCCCATGGATGGGTGTGCGCTTGTCATCAGTTGTCTGATATTAGGTGACAGCCACACGCACTCGTCCTTCGGTTAGGTGTGACATCACACCAGTTTCCTAAGAAATGAACATTCCTAGCGAGGTGCTATACCAATTATTCACTGTACCATTAGGTCTGACGAAGCGAAACGCCGCTCACAAAATACACCAACCGGTTGTTTTCACACTCCTAAACTCGAGTTCTCCATTGGTCTCAAGCACACTTTAAGTATACTCTGTTTATTTTGAAAGTGAAGATTCAATCAAATAAAATGTTGGTGTGAGATTTTAGTTCGTTACTCAACTCTGGATATTGATTATTCAATCGTATGGAATTGGTTAGGTCGGTAAACATACACATGTGAAAGGTCGTAGAGCACCAGCAAAAGCAAACCGGTGACCGCAACCCCTGTAACACAGGCATACATAGGAGCGAAAAAACGGCGTGAAGATTTCAGCTAATGTCAGTGTAGATAGACCGCGTTGCGAGCGAAGATCACCTGACTGCGTGCGTTTTCCGAGGTTGAGTGATCGATAAGGTAGCATGTGAGCAGTTCAGATGACCTACGTAACACGCGAATGCACGTCAATCAGATTCGGTAGCTAAAACAACAAACTGTGCATACTCGAGTTTTCACTACTGCGGAGGCCACACCGATAAGCTGACGTATAAAGCAACGGCGTGACGTAGAAGATGCTTTCCGTATTTCTCTCTACCATCCCTGCACTCCACGACCGACGGTTCCGTCCTTGTTTGGATTCATCAGGTAACGATATCCTGAGTTGGAAATTGAACTCTGAACACAACAGCTGGCGGCTATCGGCATCATCACTATAGTTCATTGAGCTGCGTGAGCAGAGCTTGACACATTGGTTAGAATTTGATTATCGCAATCCAAAACTCGACAATCAACGGCGCAACGTAGTTTAGAGTCAAGCTTGAAGAGCTAGGTTGTACGAGCAAGTAGACACTTGTGTATGATTCAGATTGCGCTAATACATCCGGTTAACACAGACTTCCAAGATCAATAAAATTGTAATCGCAGCGGACGAGAAACCAATTGAGGCTAACCGCATGCAATAAGATTATATATAGTAGGGATGTCCAAAGTCCAGTCCGCGGCCTACACTAACATTTCAACTGGCCCGCGGCCTCATCATGAAATAATAAATCCAAGCCTGGAGGTTTTCGGTACAAACATTATAAGCTTACAAAAAATTAAAAAAAGTTATGAGTACAAAATTCAGTGGCGTCAGATGCTGACAAAAATCAATGATGTAGTATTGATTGTTTTTAGCCCACTAGGAAAAGTATATCTAATGCTTTTACTGAAGTGGTCTTAACTAAATAAAAAGGATGGGTTCGTTACATTTTTACATAGTCAAACCTGTCTAAGGTGGCGACTCAACGGACCGACAAAAGGTGGTCGTCATAAACAGATTCATGCGTAGGGACAGCATTTATAGGAGAAAACGTTGGGGAGGTTTTTGGCTAGTCGCTACAGCAGGTAGGACTGTACATGACCAACAGAAGCTAGCCCGTTCTGAGAACGACATTTCTGTGCTATCCAGTATCACAATCGCTAAATTTTTAATGTGCTATACTTTACTTTAAGGCACCTCCTTAGACAGCACAGTTTCACTTTTCTAATTATTTAATTCCATAAAAAGCGAAACATTTCTACTCGTTTCATGAATATTAAGATAGAAATGTTTAACTAAACTGAAAAATTAAAGAGGATTCGTTAAATGTTTACTTATGATTTTCGTTCCTGTACTAGGATGGAGAATGCGACAAAAATGTAAGTGAAAAATGAAAGGCGCTGCTTAAGGAAAAAGTGGAAACTGGAGTATTTTTTCAATGAATGTTGAACAAGTGTGTGTGTTGCTTGATTTGTTGAAAAAGTTTGGCTGTTTTCAAGGAATTGAATATCAAGAGGTATTACCAAACGAAGCATGCTATGACAAAATGACTAAAAATGAACGAGCGGGGAAACTAGAATAACCTAACAGCAAAAGTTGGTTTGTAAGAAGCGGTCAATCGAATAGAAATGCGATAAAGACAAGTTATGAGGCAGAAAAACTAATCGGGAAACATTGCAAACCATTTGTTGGAGGTGAATTTATCACAGAATGTTTGCTAAAAATCTTTGTCCTGAGAAAAAGCAAGAGTATACCAATGTTTGCCTGGTACGTAACACTGTGGTTTGCATAAATGAAGACATCTCCTCTGATATTAAGAAACAAGTAAAAGCAAAAGTTGATTTTTTCGATAGCCTGTGGTGAAAGCTTTGATGCAACTGATACCGCATAGCTGCTCATTTTTCTGAAAGGATTTAACGATGACATGTTGTGTAAGTGAGGAACCGCTTGACCTGCAGATTCTTAAGGACCAAACAGGAGAAACGTATTTATTTGATTCCGTTTCATCTGTAAACAATGATATTACACTAGCATGAAAAAGATCTCTGGAACTATTACTGACGGTGCCCCAGCCATGACTGGCCACTACAGTCAATTAACAACACTTGTTTGTAAGAGGGGGTCAAAACCATTAAACCCTATTGCATCATTCACCAAGAAGTTATTTGTGCCAAACACCTTAGGTCTTGGCATGTTATGAAGCCAATGATAAAACTATCAACTATCTTCGCTCTAAATCCCTGTTTCATCGTCAGTTTCAGCAGTTTCTACTCGACATCCAAGGTGAATACGGAGTTGGCGTGTATCACAAAGATGTAAAATGCCTCAGTCGAAGGAATGCACTTCACCGCTTCTACTCTCCTAGAAAAGAAATTAGACAATTTATGGAAACAAAGAGACAATCGATGCGAGAACTATCTGATCCTGCTTGGCTGGCTGATATTACACGGCATCTGAATATGCTGAACACGAACCTTCAGGGTCCAAATGCAGTGGTAAGCCAATTATATTCCCACATCAAAGCCTTTAGGAATAAGCTGTGACTTTTCCAAAGAGAACTGTCTCAAACGCAGCGTAATAACACACATATCCCACCACAATAGGAAATCATGACGAGTCTTCCGGAAAGCAACATCAATGCACGAATGCAGAAGTATGGCGCAGATATTGTGTCCTGGCAGATGAGTTTCCAAGACGCTTTGGGTAATTTGCAACCATGGAAAAGAGGATCGGGTTCTTTCTTTGCCCTCCTCTGTGGACCTGGACAATGCCCCAGGCCACCTGCAACTGGAGCTCATTGAGTTGCAAAGTGATGCTGAATGTCGCAGTCGGCACCAATAGCTCACTCCCTCTGTCATTGAATTTTACCGCCAGCTGAATAAAGACAGATTGCAAGAGATCCGAAGATTTGCTAAGAAAATGGTCAGCCTGTTTGGCGCGACATACTTGTGTCAGCAGACATTCTCAGTTTTGAATTTTAACAAGAAGCGTGTGAGGACGAGACCGTGGTTCTCACTTAGGTGATAAGTTCCGTATCAAAACCAGGGCCCTAGAACTTGACTAGACCAGTTTACTGTAGTCAAGATCTCAGCTTCACCCAGGACATTAAAAAAATGAAATAAAAATTCATAACATGTCATACTTGGTCAGACTGAATAGGGCTCTATATATTTTTACAAAACGTGGCCCTCCTAGCGAAAAGTTTAGACACCCCTAACCTAAAGGAACAATCTGAAACAACCTGCCGATGTTCTTCACATTCTGGGCGCAGATATACACAAAGTGAAAAGGCATTTCGATGCATAATCATATAATAACACTGCGCTGTGGACCAAAGATGGGTGCGGCTGGAAATTGTACAACTTTATCGGATTATGCATCGTATAGGTTGTTACAAACGAAAGAGATCAGATGTCGCATGTTCCAGCCTTTGTTGCTCTACGAATTGACAGCGATTCAGTAGTTTGTGGTGAAATGAATGATCCGAACGAAGCAAAAAGGACTTATCAAGCTAGGGAAGTGTACAGAGTTCAATGTACAAGCAGGATCATGGGAATTGACGCATGAAGTGTAACCGAAGCCAAAAAGTGCCGCATAGATTACACGGTGCAAAAGTTATGCGGCAGAGCGAAGTTGGGCATTTTAACTGTGGCATAAGGCAGCAAGGAATTGGCGCTGAAAAGTTGATTGGAAGGCCAGATGAGGTGAAGGACATCACTCGTGTGTAAGCAGAGCCTGCAGAGCTTCACAAAGGATAATGCATCAGGTAAGTATGAAAAAACCGACGCAGATCAAATGGAAAGTGGAAAAATAAACAAAACACGGAACAAATTCTTGAAGCAAAAGAACCCCCAAAGATGGGTGTGATTTGTCGAGTGGGAAGAAAAGAGTCGAGGTGGAGTGAGTCTATCACAGACTGGGCGTTAGGCCGGACTTTCGTGGATACTCTCTGATTATGTTTCATCCATGGGGGTGTCCTATAACAGACGATGCACATAGTTAGGAGAAACAAGGTCATTTAAGATGTGCAACAGCAAAGCAAGAGGTGGGATGCTGAATAAAAGGAGCGCATCGCATCCCTATATGAATATAACCCATATTCAAGGGAATGCATGAGGAAGAAACAGAGCGCAGTGAATGGTCGCCGAATCCCCCGCCCTAAAAGTATGCACAAGAAAGAGTGTCAGAACAATGCGCGGTAATCCAGTTAAAGATAGAAGGCGACGGAGGTAAGGTTACTGCAGAGTAGGTTCACTTCGCCACTTGTTGATTTGATGCGGCAGTAGGAGCTCACTTGTGAATGGGACACTTTCATACTGACACCCCTAATAGCGGAATCGGTTGTGTGAAAAACACTTTAGTCATGAGGATGTTAATCCGTCTTTTCTGATTGACAATCCCATCTCTAGACATTGTGACAGGTCTTGTGGATTGGGCGTTATCGTGCAGTTCACAATCAAAACACTTATTGCGCGAATCACACGCAATCAAGCATTGCTGCTTGCAGTGCAAGTGACAGTGAGTACTGGACTAGATACTAGCCGATCCAGTTCAGAGCACGGCAATGGTAGAAAAAGGTACTTCAGTGAACGCAAAATATGCAAAATATGAATGAATGACTGTGAGAGTAGACTTATCCTCAACATCGCAGAAAAATGTTACTGAAGTAGGGCATTAGCAATACATCAATGCACTTTGTGGTGATGAGTCCCCATCCGGCAACTGTGAGCGGCTGTAAACGAGCTGGGATGAAGGGAGGGCTCTGAACTAGACAAGAGAGGGAACTCGAGGCACATAAGTCATAAGTCAGATGCACGAATCCTGATATCCCACGGGTTAGGATGAACAGAAGTTCGGATTGCGTCACCAGATTTGTAACATCCACAGAGGAAGAGTTGCAGGTGCAAAGTGAAGTGCGTTCACTTATGAATCGGACAGAGCTCAGATCTGAGAGCCGCTTTCAGTACAAATGGAGAGTAATCGCAGATTTTGGACGGTAGACCATGCTACATGAAGGTGCACTTTTGTGAAAGTTCCCAGTTGCCTCCCGCCCTAACAGAGAAACACCCGATGTCTCGAACCATTCCTTATAGGGTCTCGGTGTTAGGCGCCAGCACCGTGGGAAGTATGGCACCTCTGTTCTAATGCGGAGCGTCAGATTTGTGGATGCAAAAAGTCCGGAATACGGACGAGATCGGATGGTGGGTAGTAACTGTAGTTGGGATTATGGTTACATTATTTTCCTCTATTCAAAACCCCGAGTCCACAGCGTTTTATGGTAATGATAATTGTTATCGATCCTGAATTTGTGTTAAGGTTATACTTGGGTATTAACAATATTAGTTCCCCATTCGTTTAGGGGACTTTATCCATCGCCAAAATAAGTCCAACACGTAATGGATGAACTGCAAAACAGGTTGCTACAACACACTGCATCAGCCTATAACAGTAATAAATCAAATGTTAAATATCTGGTGGCAATCACCGGTAGACCAGAAACCCAGAACACAATTTTCAAATTCCCGCCACAAGCGAGCATAACTGAATATTTTTGATTTACTATATATATATATATATATATATATATATATATATATATATATATATATATATATATATATATATATGGCGGGAGAGCCTATAATGCGCTGAGGCTGGTGGTGGCTAGATCCTGACAGATGGTCTACCCACTGCTGCTACTGTTGTGCCATTGGCTCATGTCCTGTGCGCCTCCTCGTGGCGACCGCTGGGTGGGAGCTGGGTTACCCCCTTCGCCCTGCTAGGATCCAGGACACTAATCCGCATGAGTCAGTGAACTGACCATCTGACTAGACCCGCTGCCTTTCGGGTGTACATTTAATCGAAGGCTTTGGCTGAGGACCCGAGTCGTTCTCCTGTCAGGTGTGGGCGCCCTGCCAGTATCCTAGTCCATCCTCTTCGGATGTTAGGAAGTGGTCGATGGCCCTTTTCTTGTAAAACCTAGCCATGGGAGACAACAGGTTTACGGGTTATAAGCTCACAGCTCGATTGGCGTAGAGCACGAGTGCCACGCATTGTCTCTGAAGATGGGAGGACACCTCCGGGTGTTCAATGGTTTGCTACTGCCCGCCTCAAGCAAGGCAGCCCCTAGTCGAATTGGTGCAAACCCGCCAAAACCCACCTGCGTCTGGCCGTGGTCGCAGGTGCGTATCCTACTACGGTCGCAAAACATATAATAATTATTCCAGTACCTCAAAGGCTGCGTGTGACGGCCGTCAAGCAGATCCCCATCGGTCTCTGCAATCACATTCCCGAGCTGGATCTGCTCCCCACTGCCGTATGGGTCAGGCTATCGAGTCAAAAGCTCCGAGCGGAGTCCCTCAAGCAAAATTTCGAAGCTCCACCGCCACCTTGCGTGCGATTGCCCACCAATGCAATCGTATGCTTGCGCGCAAAGCACTCAGCATCGGGTGCTGAAACGTGCGCACACAACTGGACCGGAACTCCAGCGAGCGCCAGGAGCGACGTACTGCACTGGCCGCGATGGAGCTGGCGCGCTACAACATCGATATTGCGGCGCTCAGTGAAACCCGGCTCGCTGAGCAAGGTAAGTTGCATGAAGCAGGTGCTGGCTACACATTCTACTGGGTGGGCAACGCCACCTCAGCACCACGTGACCATGGGGTCGGATTTGCAATATCCGATCGCCTCCATGGCCAGCTCGTGGGTGAACCAACAGGCATCAGCGCGCGACTGATGACTGTTCGCCTACGACTCGGAAGAGGTAAGTTTGCTAATTTATAAGCACGTACGATCCGACCATGTGTTATCCTGATGACACGCGTGATCAATTCTACACTCAGCTATCCTCCGTGATACGGTCTGTGCCGAGGAGCGACCGACTATTTCTGCTGGGTGATTTCAACGCGCGCGTTGGGCGTGATGCATCGGTGTGGACAGATGTTATCGGTTCGCATGGCATTGGCTCAGCGAATGCGAACGATGACAGGCTGCTCTCACTGTGTGCCACTCACGGCCTGACGATCACGAACACTCGGTTCGCACTGAGTGCGAATGATATAGTAACCTGGACGCTACCACGGAGTGGTCACGCTCATCTGCTCGACTATGTCATCGTACGTCAGCGTGATATGCGTGAAGTGCGCATGGCACGTGTACTGCGTGCAGCTGAGTGTGGCACTGATCACAAGTTGGTGCGGACCAAACCGTACATATAGTTTCGTAAAACTATGTATTGCATTCGCGCCGCGAATCGGCGTAAATTTAACATTTTCTCTCTAGGTACTAGGGCGAAACGTATCGAGCTGGAAAAGGCAATGGCTGCACGCCTGGGTGATGTGGAATGCATAGCCACAGTGGGCAACCTGTGGCACCACATTCGCGACCAGGTGACAGCTGCTGCCGAGGAGACCATAGGGCACGCAAACTGTAAACGATCTGATTGGTTTGATGAGAACAATGCGACGATCGGCGCCTTGGTGTCGGAGAAGAGTGCAGCATTTGCTGCACATGTTGCAGATCCCAGTGACTTGGGGATGAGGAGTCAATTTCGCAAACTTCGACGGCGACTGACCCGAGCTCCGTCGCATAAAAAGTGCATGGTGGACGGAGAAGGCGAAGCAGATGGAATGCTACGCCGAACGCCGTCAACACAAGGAATTCTTTGACTCCTTGAAGGTCGTGTATGGACCGAGATTGGAGCCACTGAGGACACTGATCGATGGTAGTTCAGGCGCTACGTGCACACAGACTGCAGACATAATGCAGATCTGGAGAAAACACTTTGACTGTCTCTTGAACAACCGTTCAGAGATTGACTGGCCTACATTGAACGGCCTCAAGCAGCGCGATGTGAAGGCGAATCTGGCGTACTCGCCGACACTGGATGAGACGCAGAGAGCACTGGCTCACCTGCGTGACGTCAAATGTGCCGGAGCCGACGGGATCCCGCCTGAAGTATTAAAACACGGCGGACCCACGTTGTTGACTGCGCTGCACCACTTGGCCCAACGTGTGTGGATTGAGGAGAAGGTGCCTCCTGAGCTGAAGGAGGCCCTTGTGCTACCACTGCACAAGGGCAAAGGTAAAAAGCAATGTTGCACGAATTATCGTGGCATCAACTTGCTGAGTTGTGCGGGAAAGGTGATTGCCTGAATCCTGCTCAACCGCCACGTCAGTCAGGTTGTGAAACCTAACATGGCGAAAGAGTAGTGCGAATTCCGTTCGGGTCCCAGCACTATAGATATGATGGTTGCCACTCGTCAGTTGCAAGAGAAGTGCAGAGAACGACACCAGCCATTGTACTCGCTTTTTGTGAACTTCACCAAGGCATTTGATACGGTGAACCGCGAGGCATTGTGGCTGGTGTTGAGCAAGTATGGTTGACCGCGTAGGTTTGTAAGTTTAATTGAATGTCTGCACAGTGGTAGGCGAGCGAGGGTGCAGCCGAGTGGAGAGACCTCGGATGACTTTGCAGTTGTCTCTGGTTTGAAGCAAGGCTGTGTCTTAGCTCCTGCCCTGTTTAATATATATCTTCATGCAATGTTGTCTTGTGCTTTTGATGCGGCTTATGCTTACGGTGTTCGTGTGGAGCACAGTATAACTGGTGGGTTGCTGAACATCCGCCGCTTCGGTGCTAGAACTCTAGTCTGTGAGACAACTATCCGTATGTTGCTGTTTGCTGACGACTGTGCGTTGTTTGCACACAGCGCGGATGAGTTGCACCACATGACTAGTGCTCTGGCTTCGACAGCGGCCAAATTCGGGCTCACCATCAACGCAAGCAAAACTGTCTGTCTCTTTAAGCCTTCACCGGAGGTGCAACCTTCAATATTGCCGCGAATCAGCATAGGTGCTGAAGTATTGAAAACCACAACCCGCTTCTACTGACTTGGGAGTGTGATATCGACTGACCAGCAGCTACACAGTAAGCTGCGTATTCGCGTGTCGAAGGCAGCAGCAGCATTCGGGAAGCTTGAATACCGAGTGTGGAACAATCATCAGCTTAGCATTGGCACAAAGCCGATGGTGTACAAACCCATGGTGCTGTCCGTTCTGCTATACGGCAGTGAAACGTGGACGATGTACCGTCGGGATGTGCGATATCTCGAGCGGTTCCATCAGCAGTGTCTGCGACGAATTTTGAGCACCGATTGGAGCGCCAGAGTTGCGGACAAGGAAATATTGCGTCGAAAAGGAATGTATGCAGTGGACTGCATACTGTTGCTGACACCTGAGGTGACTGGGTCATGCGAGCCGCATGGATTCGACGCGGATACAGAAACAACTTGTATATGGTCAGGTGAGTAGTTGGAAGCGACATGCTGGGAAACCGAAGTTACGTTACCAGGACATGTGCAAAGTGAGCCACTCACGTTCAAATCGTGATTGCAGGTCATGGGAATCGAAAACGGTTGATCAGCGTGAATGGCTCGATCTGATCACGAAGTCAGTTGCCGAGGTGCAAGAGAAAGCCCTCGTGCATGCAGAGAAGATGCGGTAATTGTGGAAGCGACAAGCACCGATGGGTTGTACTCCATCGACATCAAGCGCATGGTGCTGTAGCACATGCGTTCGAAAGTGCCTGAGTCAGGCAAAAGTAGTGAGCCATGAGCGATGCCACTCGGGACCACCACCGAAGCGACGACGGGTCCTGCTGAGGACGTAGACAGAACCGACGCAGCGTTTGTACGTACGCTGCATTCGATTTGCTAACCGTATGCTTGCATGCTAAGTCTCTATATTTCAGGATGTGAGCTAACGATTTTGTCCTAAAGCTTTTCTTTCTCATGTTATTGTACAACTGCACTATCTATAAACTTGCACACGTCGCTTAACCTAATTGTAGTTATTCTCGATAACATTTTCGCGCTCGTGGCGTCTTCTAAAAATTTGTTTTCTGATGTCTTGAACTTATCGCGGATTCGTTCGTAATGAATGTTTTTAAACGCCCATTCGGTGATGAGCTATGTCACCGTATCCGTACGCATTATGAGATTTATTTTATTTGATCTTGTCGTTTCAAGTGACTGGCTGTTGTTTGATAGCTCCAGTGTGGCTGCGCTTGATGTGCATGTTGACAAGGTGACTACCTGTCTATTACCCACTACCTCGTCCATACTGGCTCCAGGAGACAGTTGGTCGTCGCTGGAGGGGACCGGGTGCACGGTCCTTGTGGCCGTGTTAGGATCAAAGATTGGTTCCATGCAGTCAGTGTGGAGCGGACTACGGTCCAGCCACCGCCTTGTGTGCACTCGATACCCAAATACAGTGTGCTTGTGTTTGCTTGTGAAGGAGTGTGGGCCGGCTCCGTTGATGAAACGTGGTTCCCATCCGCATGCCTCCCGGTCTTATTCCTTCGGGTTTACACTGGATATGGGATGTGTGGTTGGAGCTGTGGGTGGTGCAGCGCAAGCCATCCATGGTCCCTCTGTAGGCGCAGGCGTCCTGTGGCTTGCCACAGTGACAGGCAAATCCGAAACCGGATGCCGCCAACCCTCTATATATATATATATATATATAGAAAGCGATGATAAGGTGTACCTTTGAAAATTCCGAGGACGGCGCGAGCATGAGAACAGGAATGAAACCTATTTCACCTCCTGTGTGCCATCATTAGTGATAATCATTCTCGCACTTACGAATTGTGTGCACGAAAGTGATGGTCCGCGCCGAGATGATATCACGGACATTTCCTGGGACGATGAAACGTAATTGACTTTGCTAATTACAGACCCGATAGTACGCGATGACTGACCAAGGACAACATCCGGCTAGCATCGGCTCGGGGAACGATGTGTTATCTAGCCACTCAAGAGTCCATGCAAGATGCAGAGGTTATTTATTTACTTGCTTACGATTTAAAGTTGTACTCGTACATAATCGCAAACTGAGAGTCCTAAAAATGATGTTTGATATAATGGTAACTGCGAGGATCATGTGGAGTGCGCTTCGGCCAACAATCGTATCCATTTCGCTTTCAAATTCCTTCGTAAGGAAATCATGCTCTTCTATAGACCTCTCAAGATGGCCCTATCGCTATCAAACCGTATCCAAATGGGGCAGGAAAGCCCCTAAATGTGCACCATTGGTTGAGTGACCAATCCGAAATCGATCAACAGCATCCCATTCTGTAGTCGCCCGATATACTATCCGCTGAGTTAGGACTGGTCGCTCAAAGGGCGGTTGAACCCGGTGGATGCAATTCGATAGCAGTAAGGACCACCTTGAGAGATCTATGGAGGGAAATAATTTCCTTAGGGAGGAATTTAAAAGCGCTATGTATGCAAATAACTGAAAAAGGTATGGATGAGAGGGTAGCAACGCGAACCAACAACGTGGTACTCGTAGTTCACGATTGAACATCCGAATAAGAAAATGCTCTCACGCATGACCAAAGGTTGAAGGTGGTTTCTGTCAAATATCAGCGATGGTGCAGGTGTGGAAGAGAGGAATATCTCGTAAAAGAGAATATCACATCGTACTCTATACAGCGTAATGTTTCAAAAATACGCAAACACGTCTGTACGCATCAAACATAAAAAACGAAGATAGCTCCTGTGTTCGATCGAATGACAGACATGCACCTAACCAGCAGAACGGCCACTTATATTGGGTACCAAACTCCCCTATTCGTCCATAGTGTGTTGATTCGCAGAAGTGTGCTCCTGAGAGTACCCAGTATTGGTGCAAATAAACTGCACTCATCCACTAATGAAATCGCAACCTCGTTAAAATGTGAACGGATGCAGATGACACGTAACAAGGGAACGGGCACCGTGCGAAGTGAACCCTGAAGGTTCGACAAAGAGAACCAATATATCAGCAAGCGCACAATGAAATGAGAAATCTGCCGCAATTTTATACGACAAATTCAGAAAACTAGAGTACTCTTGGTGTAACTAGATAGCGCCACGTGCGCAGTTGATGAAACGAGGCCGTTAGATTAAACTTTTCGTGATATCTTGAGGAGATAACCAAGCTGATACAAGAGCAGTGAGGATACAAAAACTACAGCTTTGACTTCCACGTATTTCAAGGTATATTGGATAGTGGGTATCAGACGGTAAAGTTAGAGAAGTAACGTGAAGAACAAAGTGTGGATAATGTCCTCGTAGTACCGAGATAACCGTGGGTCAGGAAAGCCAGTCAGTCTTCAGTTTTCTATAAGGGCAGGTGAGATGAATTCGCTCTAGTCTGTAAATCTGCAAGCTGAAGGAGATGGTCTATAGAAAATAGTCTGTCAGGTTATAATAGACTGCAGAGGATGGCGTTTTGTGAGATATTGAAGGGGTCCAGATGATCAAACACTTTATCAATTACCTATGCGTTAGCAAGGACAAACAAACCCGAGATACCACAAATGAGAAACGCGAATCGCATTCTGAGTCAACAGAGGATATTGAGACAACACGAACCACCGGTTCAACGCGAGCAAGGGCATTACAAGATAGAAGCATCGTTTTGGTGATTTTCGCGTGGGCAACTTTGACGGGGCTTGTTAGGTATTCAACAGTAGAAATCGTAAAAATGGGTTTGAAAAACAGTCACGGATAGAATATCAAAGGAGTAAAACTTACCACATCTTTTGAAACGTCGTTATCCGGCGTTCCAAGTTGGAAGGCCCACCGTCCATTCACGGGATCAGGCGTGGCTGTACAATATAACGTCTCTGAAAAAATAACATTGAAAACAGTAAAAGAGTGGAACAAATCAGCAAGGTGACCACATAAAAAAGAGTTTGATGAAGAAGCAAACACACAGTGATGAGAAATCGGTTGTATCATGAGAAATAATCAATGAGGAAAATTTTCGATAACAATAATAAGGAATAAATATCATCGTGATAACTGTGCTTATTGAAAACTAGTGCAGGGGTGGTGAAACATGAAGGCAAGAGTCGGGGGTTATGACGCAAGCGCTGACAAACACGGAATGGCCAATGTCAAAACGAAACGTTTTCTCAGAAACGCACCATGCTAGTTAACAAAACTGGCGGACATGAGCACACTGAGAGGTGGTATAAAATCGAGAAAGGTAGCGCAATGAAGATGCATCAGCCATGGACATAATGAAAGGACATGTTCCCAACTAAAAAGATGGGTGCAGAGGAATTGAGGCAGCATGACAGCCATAAGTGGTGGCGTGAGAAGAGACTGCACGAAAAGAGGTGTCGACGGAAAAAAGCCAAGTCGATATTCGGCTTCGACTAGAAATGGGATCGCCTAATTCATATGACCATGAATAAAGGTACAATCGATCAATACAAGATTGGCAAACTTGCAGTGAGAGGCCGTCTTGCCTTGACCTGGAAAAATCAGGAACGACAGAAATAGTATGTCGATAGTTTGTACCGACGCTTCGCTGTTACACCGCGACTGCCAGTCACACATATGCCGAGGTAATCGCGAAATCACCCGCATCTACTCAGGTTGGAAGCTGCTGTTAAATGGTATAAGTATATTAGAATGAGGTTGGATGCGAATGCCAGATTCACACAAGGGCACAGATAACCGACAGCGTAATTTGAAATGCAGTGTCAGCTGTCGGCACATGTCCGCAACAAACTATAGCGGAGCACTCAAACCGCGTCCTCGCCGTATACTCAGCCCGCGTGCGACTGGTGGTGGTCGCACGGCAGCGAAGCGCCGTTACGGCTTACAGCTGACACATTAAATTATTATTATTATTACTCAAAACCGAAGTAAACAATCTGGTAATTGGTGTATTATGTTCATTTGACATCAAAAGGCCTACGAAGAAATTGCTTTTTGATAATCCTCCTCCGGCATTTGCATTTACGAGAGTTGGGGGAACACAGGAGGCTAGGTTAAGCAAGGAAGAGCAATTTGGTTGGGTCACAAAGTAAAGGCAAGTGAAGTCAATCGATAGGCTAGTCAATGCAATCATATGGTAGACATCACGCGTGTACACACATAAACACATAGCAAGAGTGAATTGGTCAGTGGGGCGACAAAGCTCAGTCAGCCGAGATCACTGTTAGATACGGACGGAGTCCGTTGTTCTGGCCATGGCAGACCAGAAACATTGGACGCTGACATGGATGTCATTCTCAGGAAATTACAAAACAACGGTTATCCCGCGATATATATCAAAAATATCCTGCTGTTTCTGATCACCCTAAAGTAATACCAACTGTAGAGAAAAAGAATGTCTTCTTTTCGGTTCCCTTCAAAAAGGGATATCGCCTACGAGTTACTGTGAAGCAAACATATCCGGCTGCAAGAGTCCACACTCTTGCTGACTGTTCCGCTTATCACCAAACGCCTCGGACAGAATCCCAGCCCGTTCTGAATCCTTCATTCTACATCAGTTCACCTGTACGTATAGTGCTAAGTATCTAGGACACGACCAGGCGTCTGTCCAAGAGAATAGCAGAACGCCGTCCTGTCTCTTTCCAACATGGCACGGTTAAGTGTCAACAGCTCTATCCTTGGACATCTGATTAGTATTTGGCATCAGGTTCGGATAGAGGACGCTTTCAAAGTGGTTTACAACGTATAAAAAACCGCAACCTCAAAGGACTCAGGAGGCGCATGTTGGTCACTAACGAAGCAATGGCAACCATACTACTGCAACCAAGGTTATGTAAGCAGAGGACGTGTGTATAATCTCTCACCCAGCAATAGCTGGAAAAATGGACTCCGCCCGTAGCTAACAGTGACTGCGACAGACTGTGAGCTTCGTCACTCCACTGACCAATCCATCCTTGTTTGTAGATGTCTGAGTGCGTGTGCGTGTACGCGCGTGACATCTACTGCCTGGTTACGTTAACTGACATATCGATTGGGTTCACTGACCTTTCGTTAACCTGAGTCCAAACCAAATTGCTCTCCCTAGCTTAAGTTAGCCTCTTGTGTTCCCTCAACCTTTCTCATAAGTGTAAATGCCTAATGAGAACTTATCGAAAAGAGATCTCTACTAATTCCACTAGCCCAACTACAGAGCATGAATGCAGCGGATGGGATTAAAATCCGTGATGACAAGCTGGCTTTCCCAGAAGAAGACAGCGAGAGCGGGTATGAGAACATCCCAGATACGGACAAATCAGGAGTATAGGAATTTTTGAATGAATCTGGTAATGCAAAAAAGATGTTTTGCGCAATCGTGTCTGTGAGTAGTACCATTCGTCTTCCATAATAGCATATCGGTCGCTCAAAGTGTGGAACCTATGGTATATACCGTTCAGAATTGATTTCGATTGCAACACAGGCATCAAGCACAGGAATTATGGTACTGCAAACGCAACTTTGAATGGCTTTGTAACAGTGAAGAAGAACCGATAGGCGCACCTCGGCGGTGCTACGCAGGCCGGCAGATTAAATGGGATGGGCCGATTGAGATGGAGAAATGTAAGCTAGAAAGAAATGCTGGGAGTGAAGGGTTTTCGATCACCTCAAAACGTTTTCATGATGCCCGGTGACAGCAAGCAGATGATAGCTGCTGTTGAAGCATGATCTATAGAAGAAGGTCACATGGAATGTGAATGCTTTGACAATGGGGAACGTCAACTCAGAAAATCGAGGATGTCCATCGGACGTTGAAGTATAGACAAAACCATTTACGAACTTTGCAAATAAAATGTTTTCCTGTGTGATGAAGCTCCAACTAAAAAGCAGCAGTAATGCATTCATCACGTGTGTTTAATTGATTCCAAGTGCTGGATATTGAGCTAACTGGTGCGCACACGGCCCAGACACGAGGCACAATCACGAGGTTAGACGCCTGAAGGACCTCAAGCATGATGATAATAAGTGGTCGAGGAGACCAGAATCACAAACAAAGCGGACGAACGCATGCGATTGGATGTAAAAAGACACAAGACATAAAATGAACGATGATTTTTATCTTGGAAATACTGTCCAGGGAGCAAATCGGAATAAAACGTACGCAGGGATCCAATAAGCGATCGAAATATGCGCAATGACGCAAAACGGCCGTTCAAATATCTAAACCCGTGGTTAGTTATGCACTTTCGATTTCAGACGCATTCAGTACTTGATTCGTCGCTGAACGATAGGAATGCACTAGCTAAAAGTAACGAAGACGAATTCAACAGATAAAAAGTAACAAGAAAAATCCTGAGTATCCGTTGTACATAGCTAATATCAAAGTAACGCTGAAAGTAGCACACTAACATTGAGTGCTGAAACAACCATTTTGCGACCGAGAACAAGGGAGATGGCTCATCAATAGCGTCGACAAGAAGGCATCAACACTTTGTACTGCGGATTCGCTGCGATACAAGCACACAATGAGAGAAGGTTCAGCGAGTAAGAAGTAAGAAGAAAAGAGTTAGGCTAAAACATGAATACCCTAGCTAAGCATTCGGAATCAAGGCGCATAAAATAGATAGATGCTGACAACTGAGTTGCATAATTTCACCGCACATACTTCAGTGGCTTGGGTATGTGCTTCGCATGACAGCTCCGTGTTTACTGAGCCGTATACTCTAGGTGCCCAGAAGTCGATTGGAGAAGAAAAAGAGTCAACGAACGAGTTAGACCCAAGATACGAAGGCATTAACACCAAAGCTAGCCGTGGCTAGGGGTGAGAAGATCAGGAATACACATGGATGGAAACTCTCCAGGACGCCTGCGCCTACTGAGGGACAATGAGTGGCTGGCGCTGCACCACCCATATCTTCATACACACACCTAGATCCAGTGCAAGCCCGTGCAAAACAGGGAGGCACGTGGATTGGAGCCACGGTTGATGCGCAACCGGTCCATAACTTTCAACAAACAGAGGAAAACACGTTAATCAGATGTATACAGAGCGATGTCTGGGTCACTCGTTGTACCTAGCACTGTCAACAAGACCATGCACATCGCCTCAACAACGATTAACAGCCTCCTGGAGGCAGTAATCGAGGTGGTGGTTTTTGACATATAGGCATCTTGTCAACATTCATATCCAGCACAGCCATACTTGTGAGACAGACAAAGTAAGGTCGGTTAAGAAACTTGCCTGCGACACGATATTCATCACAACTGAGGTTACCCTGCAGATACCTCAGTGCATATGAATTTTACACTAGCTACCTACTTAAGAGACAACAACAAACACACCAGTGGTTTCGGCCGACGGATGTCTTGACCTAAGTATTCCATTTTCTATTCAAGAAAGTGCTTTATGCACCCATAAGAGTGAATATTCAGCTGTTACACACACGCTTTCAGCATAGTAAAAGAAATAAAGCAGTAACTACACAAGTAGAGTAATAAGTGGTATAAGCAACAGTATGGTTACGATGCAAAGTTGTTTTTAAGCTCTAAGACAACTGATATGTGGTCCCACAAAAAGCGCGCCAGATATGGGATAACGGATGAGTGAAAAGCCTTTGTGCGGGCAAAAATGGATTTTTATTTGTGTCTGGTTGTGGATGTTGATACACACACAGACAGTGCGCCATGAGGAAGGCGAGTTGTAGCAGTATTCTCGAATCAAGCCTTATGTGTGAATTGGTTTGCGTGGACACAGGAATCTCAACAAAGGTCGGCTTAGGAATTCCACTACACCGAGATGATTGTGTCAGTGACCAATCTAGGATTTGGAAGTGCCTCCTTAGAAAACCATAAAATATCACAGTGGAGCAATAGGTCAAAATGGGTAAGACACATGCGGTGATAAATCTCAGAATTAAGTGGC